AACCTCTTCCGCATCATCTTTGATGACGGAGGCTACATCATCGCCGTCGTCTACGTCGACGACATCTTCGTCCGCTACCAGAGCCCGACCAAGGGACGAGTCGACACCATCCACATTCGCGCGCTACTGCCGCTCCTTCAAGGCCACCCGCGTCTCCGAGCCGAGGCGCATGGTTGGCTTCGACATTGCTCGCGATCGACCCGCCCGCAAGCTGCGAGTCTTCCAGACCAACTACGTCTGCGAGCTGTACAAGAAGTACCTCAGCTCGCAGTGCTCCAAAGACTTCACCACGCCTGTCCAGTCGTCTCGCTGCCCCGAGTTCATGGCCATGACAGGGGCGACCTGCGAGGAGGACGACCGCGCCGTCGCTGACAAGCCCTCCCTCCCGCTCATGGGCGGGCTGAACCGGATCGGCTGGACGCGCCCCGACATCAAGTTCTACAACGCGCGTCTCTGCTGCTTCATGCACCGACCAAAGATCGAGAACTACGAGGCCGCTCTCGCCGTCCTCAGCTACCTCTACACGACGCGCGACCTTGGCCTCGAGTTCAGCGCCTCCTCCAATCTCGACGGGGTTGTCTACTGCGACTCGTCGTACAACCAGATTCCCGACACCTTTTACGGCCACGGCGTCTGGTATGGGGGAGCGCCCGTCGCGAGCTGCTCTCGCGTTCTACGGCTCGGCGCGCAGAGCTCCTACGAAAGCGAGTCCTTCGCCTACGCTGGCGCAAGCATGTCCCTTTTCGGTTTTGCCAGCAGGTCGCTGTCTTTGGCGGAGGCGGGTTCAAGATGCCCACTACCATCCGCACCGACAGCAACGGCGTCGTCCTCGCAACCCGCAATGGTGGAGTCACTTCTCGCAACCGGCACTTTGAGAAGTTCCTGCGTCTCGGTCGCCTCCACTACGAGGACAACATCTCCTCGCCCGAGTTCGTCCCGACCAGCGACCAGTGCGCCGACATCTGGACGAAAGCTCTCGACAAGACGACCTTCCTCAAGCATCGAGCCAAGCTCGTCCGCTGATCTACTAGATCGTCTTCGGAACTACGTCCTATGGCGCTGTGCGCTGGTCTCTGTGAGCGGTCTCGCGGCCAGACTGCCCCCCTAGATTTTAGGGTCTGAGAGTAGATTTTAGGGGAGTCTTCCAAAGCCACACAGAAGCCCCGTGGGGGGTCCCCTGACCACACAGGCAACACTAAATGCCCACGAGAGCTACCCGAAGATATCTGGAGCCGTCACTTTGAGTGTGGGCCACGGCCGGGGCCCTCTGGCCTGTCAGTGCCGGCTGCGGCTCCGCGCAGCGCCCAGCGCGGGCCGCGCCGCTAGAGACCCGCCGCGACACACCGTCACACCGTCGCTGCGTCTCATCCAAGCCAGACAGTAGGCCCAATAGGAACAAGAAGACACCTCTCACTTAAGCGGGACGGTGGCGCGTGGACCGCCGGGCGGGCGCTGCTGCTGGCGCTGCTGCTGCTGCTGCTGGCGCTGGCGCTGGTGCGGGCGATTGCTCGCGGCGGCGGCGCCGATCGCCGCGCCCAAGGGGGCCGCGCCGCGGCGCAGTCGGTGGCCTCCTCCTCCTCCTCCTCCTCCTCCTCCTCCTCCTCTCCCCCCCCCCCCCCCCCTCCTCCTCCTCCTCGCCCTACGGGGTGGGCGTGCCCGCGGGGGCTCTGCAGACAGCCAGACGGCTCCGCGCGGTCGGACCGTCTTTTTCAGACTGAACTATTCTGGGCACCAAGGGTATGTGCTGCTAGATCTCACTGAGCTGAGCTCATATCTCCCTTGGTACCCTGTTTTGAGTTCGGGAATGCCTCCGGTACCCTGCTTCCGTGTACGGAGGGCCCGTCCGGACGATCATGCTTGATGCCCCCCCCCCCCGTGCGGGGGCCTTCCCATGTCGAGGCCGGCCCGAGCGGCCGCCGGAACGGACGCCGGAGCGGCCGCAGGGGCTATCACGCCGCGCCGCTGGCGGGCTGCCATAGAGCTCTCGTGGGCGTGCTATCCGCGCCCCCTAGATTGTAGGGTGGACCAATACTGAGTGAACAAAAGTTGACCCCGTTCGGTTACGACGGCAGCCCTCTTCACTTAATGTGAGCCTCGTGCGACTCGGTCCGTAAGCCGAGGGCACCCGCGCGCCACGTGGGTAGGCTCCGCTTGCCATCTGGGGGCGATGCGGGCGGGCGCCGGAGCCCACCCTAAATAGTAGGGTGGTACCCTACTTCGAAGGGGAAGGGCGTGAATCCGTGAGGTTGAGGTGTTCACAGTCCTCCGCTGCCGGCGAGGCGGTCCGCCGCGCTCCACAACCCTTGGCTTTGGACATGGCATCCAAGCCTCGCTTCACCGGCCTCTGGGCGCCGACGAGCGCTCCGGTGGGCGCCGCGGGGACGAAGCCGAGCGTGAACGCGTCGGCGCTCGGCCGTGTGATGCGGCACGTCGCTGCGCACAACAAAGTCGTGGAGTGCGAGGAGCTGTGGGACGCCCACCGGCGGCAGCAGCAGCAGGAGTCGGCGCACCCCGCAGCGACAGATCCGCGCGCGCGGCCGCCGCGCGGCCAGGATGGGGCGCGCAAACGGCCGCGCGACGAGCCGCCGGGAGCGACGCCTGCAGGGAGCACCGCCGCCGACGCGGCCCAGCGGGAGCTGCGCGAGGAGCGGGAGCGAGCAGCGCAGAGGAAGCTGCAGCTGCTCGCGGCGCGGGAGCAGCAAGCGGAGCCGGGCGCGGGCGACGAGCGCGGGGAGGACGACCGGCGGAGGCAGCGCAAGGCGGAACGCAAGGCCAGGAAGGCGGCAAAAAAGGCGAGAAGGGCGGCCAAGAAGGAGCGCAAAGCCAAGCGGAGGGAGCGCAGGAGTAGTAGCAGCAGTAGCAGTGGGAGCGACGGCGAAGGCTGACCGTGCACCCTGTGTCAATGCCCAATGCGACCGTACAATCTCCATCGACCGTGCTCAAAACTGCGGCACGGCACACCATTTCGTGCATTTAATTTGATATTTCCACTGGGTATCCTGTCCTCGATGTAAGATGGCTGGTTTGGGGCTGGAGATTGGCTGCCCCTTTTTAATTTGACTGTAAGAGAGACGATGTGTCGCCTCGGGTCACGACCGCCTCTCGGTCTCGCACGCCACACACGCCAGCAGCATTGCGCGCAAGGTCGCCTCGTCGAGGTTGCGGCCGATGAAGACGAGTCGGCTCTCGGCCACCTCCTCCTCACCCCAAGGCCGGCCGCGCTCCAGCTCCCAGGTCTCATGCACGGCCTGCAGCGTGTATCTCGCGACCACGCCCCCCACCTCCTCGTCCGCCACCGCCAACTCCCCCTTTGCGCGGTACACCTCGACCGCGTCGGCCGGCCCCGCCGCCTCGCCAGCGGTGCCGTGGGGGGCGGCTGGCGGCGGATCGGCGTCGTCGTCCGGCCAGAACAGGCTCGCCAAGAAACCCTGTGAGAGGGGGGGGTTTGGGGGGGCTCCACTCGACAACTCAACAACAACCTCGGCTCGACCTCGGCTCGACCTCGGCTCGACTCAAGCCGTGTCATCTCCGTGCCATCTCGGCGCCATCTCGGCAGCATCTCGGCAGCCATCTCGTAGGCCCGCAAGAGCGCACGCGCCTGCAGTAGGGGCAGTCGCAGCGGCGCGCGCCCGAGCAGCAACGTCACCGTGCCGAAGCGGCGGTCGGCGTGCAGCGAGACGGGGGAAGAAACGGGCGAAGTGGGCGCGGCGCGGCCCTGCGCCACCCGCGGCGCACCCTCCTCCCGGCCCGCCTCCGCCTCCTCCTCCTCCTCGCACTCGCCGCATGCCGGACCTGCGCCGACCGCCCGCCGCGCCGTCGCGGTCGCAACCTACGCCAGGACCGCTCGGACAGCCTCGTGCGGCGCTCGGCGAGTCCCTCCTTCGGCCGGGCGAACACACGACCGGAGCAGTCGTCGCCCAGCCGCACCCCGGCGCGCGCGGCAGGAGAGGCCTGCATCGCGGGTCGACCAACGGGGTGTGCAGAAGCCTTGCGGGGTTCGTGCGCTGCCTCCAGAGGATTGGGTAGGAGAAAAGAGGGTGCTCGCTTGAAGACGTGTCCTCTCGAGCGCTGGTCGGAATACGCGGGTGCGTCCTCGGCGTCTAGCGGCGGAGGCCCTTCGCGCGCGTAGGCTCTGCGGTTGAGGATCGAAGCGACGGGCAGCTGCGAGTGCGACGCGCGCAGCTGCGGCGCGACCGCGTTGATCGCCCGCAGCCGCGCGCAGAGCCGGTCGAGGTCGACGCCCGCCTGCAGGGGAAGCTTCCGAGACGGTTCCGAGACGGTTCCGCGCCGAGCAGAGGCGGTCGAGGGCGAAGCCCGCCGACGCCGCGTCGCCACACTTGTTGAGGACCTAAGGCGCGGGCACAGAGATGGGCAGACCCAGAGATTGGCGCACCCAGAGTCGCTCGCCCGCGGACGTGTCGCGGGCGCGTGTGTGCGCTCGTGCCGCGCCGCCGCGCTCGAGGCAACAGGCGCACGAGTGTGTCTGCCGAGGCGGTTTGCCACTCTCTGCTAATCTCGGCGGTCATCTCGCGCCATCTCGGCTAGAGGCGCACGAGTGAGTCTGCCGAGGCGGTTGGCCACTCTCGGCTACTCTCGGCGGTCATCTCGCGCCATCTCGGCTAGAGGCGCACGAGTGTGTCTGCCGAGGCGATCTGCCGGGAGCACTCGACGGTGTGTAGCTGGCGGTGGGCGTGGACAGCCTAGCGGGTGGCCACGCAAGCGGCTGAGGGTGGGAGTACCGGGCCGACGAGGACAGGCCGCACGGCTGCACTGAGGACAGTGTCATGCAGCCGAGTACGCGTCTGGACGAGCGCCGGCCGGAGCGACAGACCTCTGCGGCACACCGCCTCTGCGGCACAGCGCCTCTGCGGCACAGCGCCTCTGCGGCGGGCATCTAGGGGCGGACTGCGTCGACAAGCGTGATGACTCCGTCGAGCTCGAGAGGGGACTCGAGCGCGTCGTCCAGCCATAGCGACGCCGCGACGGGGCCGGGGTCCGCCATGCCTACAGTCCTCGGCTAGGTTAGGGTTAGGGTTAGGGTTAGGGTTAGGACGGGGCCGGGGTCCGCCATGCCTACACTCCTCAGTGGCGCGCCTCACCTCCCCGGCAGAGGTGCGGGAGAGAGAGGGGAGCCTCGCTCTCTCTCTCTCTCTCTCTCTCTCTCTCTCTCTCTCTCTCTCTCTCTCTCTCTCTGTCTCTGTGTGTCTCTTTTCCTTTCTCTCTTGCTTCGC